CTTGTGTATAACGACTTGTTTGATTTCTTCACTTTAAACTCGAAGTTATGTTTTAAAGCAATCCGGTGCACAGCTTCTTGCAATTCTTTCTTTGATTCGAATAGTTGCTCGACATATACATCTTCATCATCGGGAACTACACGCGAACAATTAGAGGACCGTGTACTCCACATCATCTTCACGAACAATCTGAATTGTATCCCAAACATCATTTACATTACGATTCTCTTCATTTGAAACTTCGTGTTCCCCCTCGTGGACATTCTTCCCCAATAAAGTTACGCAAATAGGAGTCGACTTCCGGCCTTGATTCAATTTAATTAGATGTTTCATTTCCACTTCAGAAGTAACTTTCATAGGTGGAATTGAAATGGTTGAATGCTTATGAAACAAAAATCCCAATTCCATATCGTACTGAGAGGGATCGACGTTAAGCATGTTTTGTATATCACTGTACATTTCTGCGAACGATGTACTCCTTGTTATAAAAATTGCTTTAACCCCATCTCCTTCACTCGTCCATTTCCATTCCCACTGAGCATTTTCATTCCTTTGAAATTCACCAAAGTAACAAATTGGGACACATGCTGATGCCATATCTGCCACAAATTAAAAATAAGGAATTAATATATAATTTTTTAAATTGTTCATTTCATATTTAATTTAATTTAATACTTTAAATAATTCATTGATTATTTTAATTGTTTCAAAAATATTTATTTCAATTAATATTTAAATATTCATTAATATTTATTTCAATAAACATATTAATATTGAACAAATAAATTCTAAAATCTGCAAAAAAAAAAAAAAAAAAAAAGGGGGGGGCTGGGCCGACTGTTTCCATCCGGCCCCAACAACTGGGCCGGCTGGAAACATTTGGCCCAGCTTTTTTCGTCCGTTTCATCTGAAATTTACGCTCTAATTTTTTATTTTTTCCATTTTTCAACGAAATAATGTTTAAATATTTATTTTACAGACACCTATAAATTTTTCCTGTAAAATATATGCATACAGAGATGAATTTCTTTTGTTGTTTTTGCTATAAAAAAATTATAAATCTGTGTTTAAATACTGTAAAATTCACCTGCCTTTCTCAAAATAATTATTTACAGATTCAAACAGTAAACTTAACTAAAACAAAATTCAAAATACGTATTTACACTTACCAATTTCCAGTGCCGACTGTGAGTATTGTTTCTTTCTTGAACCTTTGATAATTTTGGGAGATTTCAATATTTTAGCAGATGGAAGGAAAAAATTCTTTTTTACTGTATTGGAGAAACTGATAAACCAAAACTGATTTTGAAATTTACGTATGGAAGTAACAGAATTTATTTAAACTATTAAGGATATTATTGTCTTTTAAATATTTGATATACTTTTGTAATTATTAGATATGAATAAGGGTAGAATTGTCTTTTTAATGGCAATAGGTCAATGTGATGAATACAAAAAAAAATGGTCAAAATGAAAATTTGGTTGTTTGACCAAGTTATTTTAAAAATTACCCACTTTTTTCTTCTTAAGTCATGAGCGAGGTGAGAAGGGATTTTCCCAGAGAAAAAACCCTAAAGAGCGAAGATGATAATTCCCGTCCGTTGCTTCACTTGTGGGAAGGTGATAAACTTTTATGTATCTTTTCTTGAAACATTTTCTCAATAGTTCTTTGTATTATTCGATAATAGGGGATTTTTTGTTTATTTATTTAGGTGATTGGAAATAAATGGGATACGTATCTTGATTTACTGCAGGCCGATTACACCGAAGGGTGAGTTCATTGTTATTTCTGTGGATAAAGCTTTTATTTTCGTTGGTAGAGATCGTTACAGTCTTTAATGTACTGGTTTGGATACTCAACTTCAGGAATGCGTTTTAATTTAAAGTATGGTTTTTCTGCAATTATGCATAACTTCAAGTGCAAACTTGTTCGTTCTGGCTAATTCGTTGTTATGTTTTTTCTACTTATAATTTTCTCTCCGTGTATACTTTACTTTGAGATCAGAACTGCACCAGAATTGTCAGCAAACATGTTTCTGATGGAAGTAATTAGTGGTTTTTTTTTTTTTTTTTCTAGAAGTAATATTAGAGGTGAAAATTGGCCTGGGCCTCCCACTTGCTTGGCGGACCGGCTCAGCTCAGTCCACCACTAGCACATGGGCTGAGTTTAGCTCGGATTTCAGCCAGGCGAGCCGGGCCAACCTTGTCACAGTAAAGCCTTTTCGTGTATTATTATTTACTTGATTTATATTACTTGTTTCTTATCCATATTTTTCTTTAAATTTGTCTAAAAAGCGAGAAGCTTGTGGGCTGGTGCAACTTGACTTGGTCAATTGCCACCCTTGTGTTTTGAATGTTGCTCAATGCTTGTTGTTATCATCTGTGTTTTGAATGTTTTGATTTTTGCTTACTTACCATCTCTTGGCGTTAAGGATAAAAGATTAGAAGGATATTTGCCCATAGAAAGTGGTGTCTCATTAAAGATCACTTTATCTGCCATACTTGCGTTAAATCTCAAAGATCTATGAAAAAACAGAGAGAAAAGGAGAAAGATGCACCACACATTTTGAATTGCGTGCTTCCAATGGAAAATTTAGAGTTTTAAGATCATTTGCAGTGACATAAGCTTAATAGATGAAAATAATGATTGACATTCTAAAAATGAAACTGGTATTGTAGTAATATTGCATTGAATATATATCACATACAAAAATAAAAAGATGATAGGCCTATCCGCGTATTTTTATTTTTTTGGTTTTATGCGTCGTAACTCTTCCTCAGCCGGTGCCCAATTTCATGTTGTTCCTTTTTGATTTAAATTGATAGTATACTTTCCTGTACATAATCCATTAATTAATAAAATATTTGATTACCTTTCCAAAAATTAAAATTAAAATTCCTCAGCCAGGATTGGTCAAGCAGCTGCCCTTGGCAGGGAAGGAAAGGTGTTCCATAGCATCTGGGGCCGAGGCCCTGTTCTGGTTGCTACAATTATTTATGTGTAGTAATATTGCATTGAAAATATATCACAAAAAAGGATATCACTGTGAATGAAAGAGTCTTTTTATGGAAACAAAATTTGCGAATGTTCTATCAGTTGGATAGAAGAATTTTGATCTAGGAACAACATTGAATCAGAATGAAGGGAAAAACAAAAAAGCACTGATTGCATATGAAATCAATATCTTAAAATTGTTGTATCACTGTTACGTCATTTATATGAAATCTAAAGTTTCTAAATGTTATCTTTTAATACATATTTGACGCCAAAAAAAAAAAGATATAGAAAGATGTGGTTTCTAGTAACACGTTTTTGGATTTATCATGCAATAATCTTTCTCTTGCTTCTGTTTATCCTTTTAAAGAAACATAGTTGTTTTTCACAGTTCACATTTTCCCAATGTCGTAGCTTAGTGCTTGTTTGGTAAGGATTTTGTTTGCTAAAAGGCTCGTGGTTTGGTCAAACATTATTTTTAACTACACATTTCATGGACCTACGTATCCACTTTTTCACCACATATTCATAGGACCCACTAGCTTTTAGTAACATTACACAACCCATTACTGTAAACCGATGTAGAATGTGCATAAAGCCCATAAAATCAACAATTTCATCGTCTTAGTTGTCGTTAAAAATTGAAGCAGGAATCTTAGCCTGGAATTCTGGCTATAATGTTAAATGGATTTGTTTGCAGAGATGCTCTTGATGCATTGGGGTTGGTTCGATATTGCTGCCGAAGAATGCTGATGACTCATGTTGATCTCATTGAGAAGCTTCTGAACTACAATAGTAATCCCCCTCTCCTCCTCCCCCCACCCCCCGGCTGTTTGTGTGTGTGAACTGTGAACATGTGTTTGCATGTTTGTACTTGCAACCAGGTGGCTATCTATTTTCCTTATTTTTTGCCGTTTACCTTCTTCTGCAGCTTTGGAGAAATCTGAGGGAAGTTGATACTGCTTGTCAAGTACAAACTATTTGGGGGTACTGCCATTTGTTGTGGTATTATTGTAGTATCAACTTTTGTTGTGTAAGGAGGCAACCTGTTTGGAACCATTTATCTGTTTATCAGAGATGTATGCCATGCGAATAGCAGAACAGAAGTATTCTCTTTTCACCCCATCCGTTTAGTTGTTGGGAACCCTCAGATGTTGATTTTTATGGGAATGTTTTGCTCGTCGAAATCGACTTTTTGATTTGTGCAGTCATTTATTTCCTTCTTATTCTTACTCGTTTTCCTTCTTCTTTATAAAAATCATCACAGATTCAAGTTGATGACAGATTTTAGGTTTTTTCTGATTTCTTTCTACCGAGTCTACCAATTTGCCAGATTTTTGATGTATGCATCTGCACCCTCACATATTTGTACTGGCAGACTGAATTGGCATAATTGGGTCGTTTTAGGCTGATCTTGCAACGTAGAGGCTGATCTCAACGTTCTAGCTCACTTCATCTTGGGACTAGGTTGAATTGTAACTTAAATTGACCAATACCGTCTGCTACTAACATGCATTTATTGCATTTGGATTAATAGTGCTGTCATTGGGTGTTTCGCAAACTGCATAGAATTAGCATAT